GGCGAGCGCGTGGAAGGACAGGGGGGAGGGGTTGGGAATGAGCGGGTACCGGAGATGTGCAAAGGCGTGTGCGGGAGTGCAGAGCGGGTGCAAGGCCGCTGCAGAGCGGGTGCTGTCCAGTTTCTGCAGAGTGGATACGCCCGAATTCGGGTGAATAACGGGATGCAGATCAGCACTGCTTTGAGGATAGTGCTACGCTGCATAATGCTCTGTGCAGGTAACCAATCAAGTCAATTTTGCATTATCGGAGCATGGAGAAGGAGTTGTGCATGCAACCAAACAGACCCTAACCAAAGAAAGCTTTAGAGTCCCTATGCACAATTGACAAATGGAAATTATTGCACTAGTCTAGGTAAACATTCTCTTTTGACTCCAGTCCACAGAATACAACCTCCATGCTAATCAACTTGCATATTTTGCCAACAATATCCACACACTATTTGATAACCACAAGCCATGTTTATGCTAAAAGTTATTTTGTTATTTTCTAACTTTTACATTTTGGAGGGATCATGTGTATCTCTCTTGCAGGAAACCTCAGACATGGTCCATGGATACAATACCTGTGAGAAGAGTGGCAGAATAGTAATACCCGCATGGCCCCCGACAACAGGAACATTCACCTCTGCAAAAGGCCACATCAATAACTCATGTTAAGAGGGATGAAAAGTTAATTCTGATACATAATCTCAATGTCTACAGCAACTGCCAGCTAAAACATCATCTTATTACCAGTAACTGGCACACCCGCCTTTGCAGCATAAAAAGTTTTAGCGCGAACAACATCAAGGGTAGTCACACCAAACAGCTTCTTCTCATCATAGGTACCAGCCTTCTTGAACACCTCCGCCGCAATCGGGACAGTGGAGTTGACAGGGTTGCTGATCATATTGACAAGAGCCTAAAACGCATATAATCAACATGATCAGTGTGATGGAACAAATTAAGCAAATCAAGATGAAAATGTTCACTGGACATATATAAGGAACAAGCATGCATATATCACTCAATATCATCTAACATCTCATATGCAAAGCATGGGAATGTTCACAGATCTAATTTGACTATATCCCAATGCATGTGAAGTGAGCTCTAGAGCAAGTGGGCCCTCTTTACTTCAGGTGGCAATTTCAAAGCATTGAGGCTGGCAAGTAGCACGTGGTGGTAATTCTGTATGTTTTGGGCAAACAAGTCCACTCCATTTCCTGTCAGGTAGGTGTGCCACTTTACTTCACCAGATCAGCACTGAACGCTAGATCTGCAGCAAATCCAACCACCGGCCATTAAAGTAGAGTACGAAATCTAGCAACCAATCCTGAAATTTGCCCCCTAAGCAGCAGATCTACAGTGGCAAGGGGGCGCGACGCTTACGTTGGGGCAGTGCTTTGCGATGGCAGTGCAGAGCCCCTTAACGATGCCGGCGTTGATGTTGAAGAGGTCGTCCCTGGTCATGCCGGGCTTCCTGGGCACCCCGGCGGGGATGATGACGACGTCGGATCCCTCCAGCGCCTCCCCGAGCTGGTCGTCCCCCATGAACCCCTTCACCTGCAGGAGTCGAGCGGAAACCAGTGAGCTCGGATCCAGTCCGGTCCAGTCCGCCCAAGCCAAGCCAGAGGAGCGCGCCGAGCGTGGGGTATAGGCGTACCAGGGCGGGGGAGTTGATGTGAGAGACGTCGGCCGCGACGCCGGGTGTCCCGGCGATATCGTAGAGGGAGAGGGAGGAGACGAGCGGGTTGAGCTTCATGAGGAGCGAGAGCGGCTGCCCGATGCCGCCCGCCGCGCCCAGGATGGCCACCTTCCGCTCCGGGTTGGCCGAGGACGCGTACCCGCGGCTGCGGCGGAGGAGCTCGGCCGTGGACTTCAGCAGCGACGGCCTCATCGCGGCGGCGGGGTCGGGGCTCGCTCGGGCGTGTCTCGCTGGGGATTTTGGTGGGGGAGCGGAGGGGCGGCGGGCGGCGGCGGCGTGGGGTGCTTTAATAGAGGGGAGGAGGGGAGGAAGGATCCAAACTCCAAGGGTGGATGGGATCTGAAGGAAAGTTGGTGGTGGCGGTGGGAGAGAGAGAAAAGGGGAGGGTTTTTGTTTTTGTTTTTGTTTTGTTTTTGTCTTTGGTTTTTGACCTTTTGGCGTCTCGTCTCGACGTCTCCGCCCGTTCTGTGCCTTCTTGTTTTTCTCCACTTGGGTTTATCTGGCTCACTGGCTGGCGCTGGCCGAGGTGGAACTGTGGAAGGGTCACTAGCGCACTCAAAGAGTGCACAACGACTGTGCGAGCACGACGGCGCGGCGCATAACGACTCGCACCACCGCGGTTCAGCGGTCAAGATTCCTTTGCGCCTTTAGTTCCACCTCGTTTTATCTAAATTTTTTAAGATTTTTCGTCACATCGAATCTTTAAATGCATGAAGCATTAAATATAAATAAAAAATAAAACTAATTATACAGTTTAGACGAAATTCACGAGACGAATCTTTTAAAGCCTAATTAGACTATGATTGGACACTAATTACTAAATAACAACGAAAATGCTACAGTGCTCATTTTGCAAAAAAAATTTGCTTCTAAACTAGTCCTTAGGTTTTGTGCTTCACTTCTGGATGGAAATGGACTTCCAAACTCACAGCTGAGCTGACAGGAACAGGAGGCGGCTACAAACCCAACGGTTCTGCGTTGCGGAGGTACGCCGCAACAAAATTTAGATAAATTAGCTTCCTTTCGAATCCACAGTTCAAACTTTGGTATGGTCACAACACGAGCCTCGCCTGAGCAATTTTATAGGCTGCGTTCGGCTGGTGCAAAAAAAAAAAAAACTGTTCACCGTGGAAGTTACTGTTTACACATCTAGATTTCTCCAAATACCTTCGAATGACAGGGCCATTGTATGGAGAAATTAGAGTACAAGTACAATGATTTTGCTCACTTGCTCTAGCCATTTATGTCATTCAAAAACGAGCCTCGCTAGAGAGTACGAATGTGTTTAGTTTTCCGGCTTAGTCATAGTCTAGCTAGGATTGTAGCTTGGCTAGGCTAAACCTAGTTCTAGCAAGCTAACATATGGTTGTTTAGTTATTTGTATTATTTAAGTCTGGCTAGCTTCATGGTGCGTTTGATTGTCTTGTTTGTTTTGATACAGTTAATCTCTTCTCTAATTTGGTAGCTTTATCCACTTTGAGAAATTTCTTCGAACAGGTGATGGACATCAAATGTACTAACATTGGTAGTGTAAGCAAAGTGCCCACATGAACAAAGAAGACGTCAGGGCTTGCAGCACGTTCAAACCCAAATTCCACAGCACGATTTTAGACTTACGAGCAGCAGTTCTTCTTGTTGAAAATACACACGCACACACTAGGAACGGCAGGGGGAGACGACGAGGTCTATACGAGGCCATGTTCCAGCTCTAAATTTCAACTCGCCGCCACTGGATCTGCTGCTGTTGTTGCCTCCGCGGATGGTGGCGCCGGGGATGGTATGGACAATACGACGGTGATGGTCTTGGTGGATGTGGAGGTCGTCGTCGGCCGCAGCGCCCTCACGGGGCTCTCCAGCGCCCACGGCAGAGCAGGGCGGCACGGCGGCCATGAACACACCGCGCTTCTTCACGAGTCGTTGGCTCCAGTTGCTGGCTGCTCCCGCCGTGCTGCTCGAGTCGCTAGCCGCGCTGCTTGAGTCGTTAGCTGCTCTGCTCTCCTCCGGGCACGGCGAGCACAATCCGTCGTGCTTCTCTGCTCTCCTCCGCAGCGCCCTCGAAGGGGCACGGCCAAGCGCAGATGCCAGACGAGGCCGGGGTCGTGAGATCCGGCACGCGGGGATGACGGAGGAGCTCGGCTGCCGCGCCACGCGAGCCCACGGTCGCGGCGAAGGGGCAGATGCGGGCCGCCGTGCGCGGCGAAGGAGCAGATGCATCGGTGAGGAAGGAGGGGTGCGCGGGTGAGATGGGAGGTGAGGGGAACGGGTACCGGTGCTTAGCCGCTCCGCGCGAACGGCCGAATCGGACGTTCTACCGGGGCCAGGCCCCAACTGTACGGTGGGCCAGCCCGAGCCAGGCTCCAGACCCCTTACAGGCAACTAAACAAGTCCAAATTAGCTCAGGAACCAGGAGCTGGCACCCAACCACCGCACCATGAAGAAATCGGCTGGCATTTCTCTCTTTGCCCTCGATACATAAGCGCGTGAGACGACACTACTAGTGTAAATATACAAAATAAACCGTGAACATTCTTCACGTCAAATCCATTTGATCTTGAATCCACCAATTAGAAACATCCAACGACAATATAAAATTTTGAGAAACAATAATTATGAAAATATCTATGTTATCAAAATGATTTTCAGATAATTAGTGACATCAATGATTTTCAATAGAAGTTTAGCGACGTCAATCTAATGCTGTGGCTATCTCGGTGATAAAAAAGTTACAAAGATTCAACTATATAGGACTTTTATGTCTAGTAGTAGTAGATATAGAGAAGGAATGTCTGCGAATTTGGTGTCTATAGAGTTCGGTTTACTTTACACCCTCACAACCCCTCCCCCCCCCTCCCCCCCCCCCCCCCCACCCCCCACCCCACACACAAAAAATGACCTACTCTGGTCTCCTCACATGTTTTAGTTCTCTTCTCTGAAAAAAAAAATGACCTACTCTGCAGAGTTGTCTTCACATGTTAAAATTTATGGGCAAAATATAGAGTTTGTTTGGCACAGCTCACTACTATTTTTTGCTGAACACTCATTTTCAAAATAGTTATTTTTCTCTCTCTACAAAGACATAAGTTGGGATACAACTGAAAAATGATTTATCCTAGCTTTCTCCCTCATTGACATTTCTCTCATTCATGCATAAAACTATTGTGAATCCTAGCTTTTTCTGGCTGTTTTGCCAAACAGTTTTTTTAAAACAACTCTAGCTTCACCTAAAAAGTTACTCATTAAGCTATTTTCTAAAAAAAAAAGCTTAAATAATAAAAAGCTACTGGCCATCCGTACCCCTTTGGCCTTGCCAGGATTAAACGCCCAAATCGCTTGTTCTTCTGGAGACTGGCTTGGCCAGGCACCGTTCCCCGTTCTCCTCACCTCCGGCGCGCGCCCCCTGCTCCTCACCGCTCGCCTCTGATGCTCCGCTTTCCTCTTCCTCGACGGAGATGACCACCGACGGTCCCTGCTCCTCTTCCATGCCGGCCCCTGCGCGTGAGCTCCGCCAGTCCCGCAAGGCCCGCACGAGCACCGCCGAGAAACGCCTTGCCGAGCCCGCGTCGGAGCACCTCGTCCCGGAGGCCCCGTCGGAGCCCGAGCTCGTGGCCCGGAGCACCTCGTTGCGGAGGCCCCGCCCGAGCACCTCCTCCTTCGCTGCAGATCCGACCGTACCCCTGCTTCTCCGCTTCCCGCTCGACGCCGTATCCTTCGCCCTCCTCCTGCGGTCTTGCCCAACGGCACGGGGGCGCTCGCGCTCGCCGCACTGGCCCCGGCCTCCGTCCCCATCGGAGCCGCAGCCAACGCGCGCTTGTATAAGGAACGGAGCCGTAGCTAAGGACTCCAGCAGCCAGGGGTCCGCGCACGCCGTCCATGGCCTCCTCTGCCGCAGCTGGCAGTGGTGGTCCCGGCGGGTCCAGCGGCTTGTTCCGGCAGTCCGACCTGCGCCTGCTCCTCGGCCGTGGTAGATGACCCCCGACATGTGGTACGTCGAGCTCGCCGTCGGTGGTAGCAAGGTCCATGCCGGCTCCAATGGCCGCCTCGTCTGGCACCACACCCCCTGGCTCGGGGCCCGTTCACCCCCCTCCGCCACGTCCTTCATGAGCGGCGGTGCTGGCCGTGCTCATTGGATGCTCGCTTCCCGTGCTCGTTGGATGCTCGCCACGCTCTGGTTCCGTTCCCATTCAAGAGGCGCCCACCAGATGTTCAACAAAATTTCTCAAAGGGGTTAAACTTACCGATTTAGAGAAGGTGGAGGTGATTGTATCAAAAAATTAGAGAAGAGGTGATTGTATCAAAAAAAAAAAAAAACAGGCAACCAAACACACAAAAGTTCCATCAATTTCCACACTCAAAAGTTGCAACACGTCCAAGGAAAGAAAGATGCTCCAGACAATGCTAACTCAAGAGAGAGTTCACCCTAGAACAACTTAAAACGTGAGGCACAACTCCTGCTCAAGTCCGAGATTCATGATCCTCTCTACTCAATCAGATCATCATCGTCATCAGGGAGAGGTTGTGCAGCCGCTGCAGCAAGCTCAGCTTCATGCCTGAGTCAATAAAAAGTGAATCAGTTCTTGCAACACTTCGAATTGAGGCGACAGATTAAAAGGATAGTAGGAACTTCCGGACAAAAACAAAGTCATGTCGATTATAAAGTGGACAAAAACAAAAGGCGACACTCACTGCTGCTGCATTGCCATGTCGATGGTAACTTCCGGAGGCTTAAGAGCAACAGCTTCAACAAAGTGAAGGTTCGGATCACTGTTAAGACCAAAGACATTGTCAAGAATAAACATATAGTGGTAAATGGTTGTGAGCACAAGATGCAATAAACAAAAGTAGGTTAGTCAATTACCCAGCCAGTTTCCTTGCAAGGTAAAGGAAAGGTTTCTCAAAGTTGTAATTGCTCTTGGCAGAAATTTCATAGTACTGCAGATTCTTCTTCCTGTGGAAGGTGACCTGCTTGGCTTTCACCTGCCTGTTCTTGACATCAACCTTGTTACCACAAAGGACAATTGGGATGTTTTCACAAACCCTGCATGAATTCATAATTGAACATCAGAATTTACCAAAAAATTATAAATAAGTACAGGTTTATGACAAAGAAAGACTGCAACAAACCTGCACAGGTCCCTATGCCATGTAGGAACATTCTTGTATGTCAGCCTTGAGGTTACATCAAACATGATGATTGCACATTGACCATGGATACTGCATGGGAATAGAAATCGCAAAGAGTGTCAGAAAATGCAATCGAAAATAGTTCAGTACTGAAAGTATACATAAACTTTACAGTGTATGTACACTTGTTAATTCAGATGTTACTGAAGACTTACTAGTATCCATCCCTGAGGCCACCGAACTTCTCTTGCCCAGCAGTATCCCAGCAGTAGAACCTGATCTTACCACAGTTCGTGGTGAAATCCAATGGGTGGACTTCCACACCAATGGTTGCTGAAACAACAAAATGCATTAGAGAAGCTGGAAGTATTATTGATGGCAAGTAAATGAAGGAAAACCCCAATCAACATGATACTTGCGTTCATATTTCTTCTCAAATTCTCCAGTGAGATGTCTCTTCACAAATGTAGTTTTACCTGCAACAAGAAAACATGAGGGATAAAAATCACACAGGGCCAACAGAAGAGACGGATAATGGATAGATGTGGTGTATAGTCATGCATCTAAAGCCTGTGAGGACAATAATGTTACAATAATGTTATGCCTTAGCAACTGAAATTTGAACCATTTGAACCATCTAGCATATGAAGGTTGCAAACAAAAAGATTAATGGCGTCTGGAAGCAAGAGCTAATTAGGTTGTGCATCAACTGAATTTCTATCATATTAGCATACAAAATATTAGAAACAAGAAATCAACCACCTCCACCTCAAATTTAGTTGCATCACATGTAGCCCCTAACTTAGAATAGAATACGGATTTGCTACAATACAAAAGATGATAAAACAACTGGATCACAAAGAGTCGTCCTTATAATATTTTAAGGTAATGAAGTGGCATTGAGTAGGGGAGGCAGCACCCGTGATCCTCTGCGTCTATGTGAAAAAGGAATCTAAATGAGGAGAAACAAGGTCTAATATATTTGTGCAGTTTATATGTGAAAACGAATCTAAGTGAGGAGAGACAAGGTCTAAAATATTTCTGCAGTTTATATGTGAAAACGAATCTAAATGAGGGGAGACAACTACAACATAGACATGATTAAAATCAGTATTAGCGGAAACTGCCTATCTAATATTCCAGTCACGGAAATCGTGAGGAAACCAGGGGAGGCAGCCCGTATGATCCACACAACGCCCAAGTTCAATCCATCAGATCTCGTAGAAACAATGGCAGCTTCTACCGTTCCTAACAACCAATCCCGACACGGAGCGATTCGGAAACTCACCCGTTCCGCCATCGCCGACGATGACGAGCTTGAAGCTGGGGTAATCCACGGTCCCCTGATTCGGGAGCGCCTGCGAAAAAACCACAAAACATCGCGGATCAGACACACGCGGCCACAGATCCGGAGATCAAACACGGCGGAAATCGGATCCGTGCGGGGCACTCACCATCTCGGTCGCACTGGAGGGGGGCCGCGCCTGATGCGGCGATGCGGCGGGCTTCGGAGCACGGGGTCGGGGAGCAGCAAAACCCTAGAATTCGAAATGGAATTGGGCGAGCCGCCGGTGGAGGCGGAGGGTTTTATAGCTGCGGTGGCGTATTGTTTTTTTCCTCGGGGGTGCGGGGTTTTGGTAGCTTCGGATGGACGCAGGAATTGTGGCCGCCGGATCTTAGGCGGCGGGCGGGGATCGCATCCGGCTAGCTTTCGTCCCACGCGAGATTTCTGGCCGTTGGATCCGAAGGGTGCCGTGGAGGGGTGGGCTGCGTGGGCTTTTATCTTGTGTTCGTTAATGATCAACAACACGAGGTGATGGCCCAACTCTTCTTTCCATATGGTGTTTGCTTACGGCCCAATAGGTTTATAGTTGTTCCTCTAAATGAAGACAAATATGTGCTTGTGATCTGTACAGTGTGTACATGATGTGATCGCAATCTGAGGCAATAGACTCTACAATTTCTTTCACTGGGCGAGTGATTACAAAGTGGTTCATCTAATCTAATCTGAAAGGATGAAGATGTCTAAGAGATGATGAGTTGGACTAATTCTAAATATTTGTAATAATTAAGTTCTACACTTAGCCCATTTCACCCCTTATGCCTAGAATATATTTCTATTGTTCTTCCACACAAAATTTTGCACCTTATGTTCCAATCCTACTTTAACATAACAATTCTAAGAATGTAAATACATGAAATGAATTGCTCAAATATAAATGCTCAATGTAAAAGAGGAAAAGAAACACGGCGATGTTTTTCCGAGGTATCGGAGAGTCGTCACTCCCCACTAATCATCGTTGGAGCACCCGCGCAAGGGTGTAGCTATCCCTTGATCCACGCAAGGATCAAGTGCTCTCTATGGGCTGATTCTTTGACACTGCATCGCTGTGAATCGTCCACAACCTCTCACAACTTGACTTAAGTCATCCACAAGCTCCGCCGGATGATCACCAAGCTCCTAATCACCACCGAGCCGTCTAGATGATGGCAATCACCAAGAGTAACAAGCACAAACTCTCACTTAACCAATACAAGCCTAATAAGAAGGGTGGATGCACACTTACTACTTCCTATGCACTAATGAGGTCCTTAATCTTAGATTATCAAATCTCAATCACCCCACTAGGCTCTTGCTCTACCTTGCACTCCAAATGTGTTTCTCAGCTAAACAAATGGGTAAGAGATCTCCAATGAATGAGTGCAGTAAATATTTATATCCTCTCATTTAAAACATAACGTTTGAAGGCTGAGTCATCACTCTACGGGCTGACCGGACGCTCCGGTCAGAGTGACCGGACACTCTGGTCAGTTGTACTCACTACTAGTTAAGAGAGAGCCGTTAAGCTCTGACCAGCGTCCGGTCAGCACCCACCAGACGCGTCCGGTCAAGAAAAACCCTCTCTAGAACCTTTTCTGGAGTGGACCAGACGCAGGTACCCCAGCGTTCGGGGCACCTCCACTAAGCGTCCGGTTTGGTACCGGACTCTGACCTACGTCTGGTCAGCATCCACCGGACGCGTCCGGTCAAGAAAAAGCCTCTCCAGAACCTCTCTGGAGTGGACCGGACGCAGGTCCCCCATCGTCTGGGGCACCTCCACTCAGCGTTCGGTCAGTACCAAACGACTGCAGTTGATCAAATAAACTGATCAGGCTCACCCTCCAGTGTCCGGTTACAACCAGACCAGCGTCCGGTCAGTCATTTGACCCTCCATTCACTTTCAACTCGAAATCCTATGTGAATGAAGTTGACTCCAATTGATCTTAGGACTATTCGTAAGCTACTTAGTGCTAGGTTTGACAAGTGTGTACCACACCTAACCTACTAGACTCACCTAGGTCAAGCTACTAGTCCATACCCCTCTTAATAATACGTCCAAAGAAAAAACAAGGCCCTAAACTACTCTAAATGTCTCTTCAACACCAAACGACACTTAGAACTAGTCCGTCCTTTGAAAACCGAAACGATTTCCATCAATAGGGGCATGACAACCATGATTGCCCAATCAATTTCTATTACCATGACCTAATTCAAATTGCCTCTACAAAACACACGTTAGTCATAGTAATCTCGTGTCGTCATTAATCATCGAAACCCAACTAGAGGTCTAGATGCTTTCATAATCTATCTACTAACGCTCAATTATCTAATCTATCTACTAACGCTCAATTATTTAAAAAAACATGTGTCGATGCCCTGGAGTCTCTAGGAAATTTGGATTTCGTAAGCGAGGAAAAGCCATCTGGTTACTCAGACATCAACACTTGTGTCTGAATTGACTTCAGTCGTTTCTACCGCGGCATAGCTGCATGTACAACCAATGTGCTAACCATCACCATCACAAGACACGAGTATGATCGAAGGAAACAGAACTTATTGGAAATTGGATTCATACTTGTGTCTTTGTTTTTCTCTTGGGCAGCGATAAGTTTACTGTATCCTGGATAAAGAGGAGAAGAGAAATAAGAAATAATGTA